GGCATCAGAACACACCCAAAAAAAAAAAAAAATACAGATACAATATTATAACAATAGTTCAATAATAAAAATTTACTCAAAATGTATAGACGTAATACATGTGTAAACGTCATTATCCAGATGTTCACAGTAACATATGAATGATGGTGAGTAAAGGCCTGCACCACAATATCAGTATTTTCTCTGAGAAGTGAAGGTCTGAGACCTTTATGAGTTTGTGAATGCGGTCTGTGGAAAGAGATGTTTTCTTTCAGCAGAAGCAGGACAACAACACGGACAGGTTTTCAACGTCAATGTTCAATCAGCCCAGACTGCATTTTTACTGTTACAGAAAATGAGCTACGCCTGTTAGTCTAAGGGTTTCCAGTAAATCCTATTTTAATTTCTAAGGATCATCACTGCTTTAAACAAGGTATGAAATTAATGAGTATCTAGTGATTATTGCTATCTAATCCTTGACTGAGCAGTACATTTACAAATTTATCAGTAGCAAGTTACAGCAAGGTTTTGGTAAAAACTGAACATTGTGTAATCTGTGTTAAGTACTGTACTGTGTGAATGTGAATCTCTGTATTAACAATACTTTTTACATTAATTTACATGAATTCAACGTGTGAGTAAAAGTTTTTTAATACAAGTGACATTTCAGGTTTGTTTGTGTAACACTTTTCACAATACATATCAATACAAAGCAGGTTTAGATAAAAAATAAATATATATGTGCAGGATCTCTTGAACATCTTACATTAGATTAGCCTGATTTCATTACAAAAAGCAAACTGCATTCAGTGGACACACACCTGCTTGAAATGTAGCTGATAATATTGTTAAGCACACAGACCATATTAATAATTGTAAATATATTTCAAATGCATTTAATCAAAATTAGATTTTTAATGTCACATGTACCAGTGTGGTGTCATTGTGTCTGTTTTAAATATATTTCGTATTTTCCATCCAGAAAAACACCAATGACAGCACACAGCTATATCAAAGAGCTTCTTCTGAAGACTCTGGATAATCTGAAAAGAGAAAGACGAGACAGGTTTAAATGGCACTTAAATCATGAATGCATTTTAATTGCTGATACTGAGAACGCAGATGCCACTGGCACAATGGACATAATGGTGGCATGATTTTCACCGGAAGGAGCAGTGAAGATCGCACTGGACATCTTGAGGAAGATGAATGAGAACCATCTGCTCAACAGTTAGAGATCCCAGTCAACACGTGAGATCATGCGCTGATCACAGTGACATCACACCGTTCTCATACAGTGATACTCACAGTGTGAGTAATATGTGAGCTCATTGTGAAGTCAAAATGTTGAGCAGGTTGAGAAAAGACAGTTCAAATATAAGTCACCGAGGAGGCTTTCTATATCCTGTTTCTCAACACTATCACAGTGATATCACAGTGCTCTCACATGCTGAGCTCATGAGTGCACACTCAGCTAACAGCTTATTGTTATAAGTATGAGTGCACACTCAGCTAACAGTTTTTTGTTATAAGAACCTTCTCCAAACATACAACTGACTTCCAGACACAGCCTTCGATGAAATCAACTGAAATACAAAAGACATTAAATCTTTGGTGATCTCAGCAGAGAATGATTAAACAACTCCACAAACAGCATCACCAGCTTCACTCATTATTAACCAGACTGACTTTATTTCTGTCAGACATCTACAAAAGTGCTTATTGAGAATTAACAGAGATTTAGATGATGTTTTATTGTTTCATTTGATGTCACCATCAAGGTGATTAGTGTTTGCTTTAGTTGGGCTCTTGACCCTTGACTTTAT